AATGGAAAAGTTGACAAAATCTTGGGGGCAATCCGCAATCTGCTGCCCAGGAAAAGAGTTCAACTAAAAGAGCCCCAATCGATTGTAGGTCTCTTAAATTTTGCTTGTTCGGTTATTACCCCTGGCAGAGTTTTTATTCGGCGACTGATAAATCTCACCATGGGTGTCAGACGTGCACACCACAGTATCCGTCTAACCAGAGAAACTAAAAAGGATTTAAGAATCTGAGAAACCTTCTTAGCCTCTTTCAATCTGAAGTCCTTTTTCTTAGAGGAAGCCTGGTCTACCTCCTATAACTTAAAGTTTAACACAGATGCCGCTCAATCTAGCAGGTGCGGCATCCTCTTTGGCAAGCACTGGGCTTATAGTACATGGCCCGATGCATGTAGAGCAAATAATATTTGCTTTCTGGAGTTTTTTCCTATTGTCGTTGGTCTCAGTACATGGTGTAGTAAATTGAAAAACAAGAGGGTGCTTTTTATGACGGATAACGAGAGCGTAGTTCATGTCATCAATAAGCAAACAGCGAAAGACAGTAAGATGCTTCGGTTATTGCGAGCAATGGTTCTTATTTGCCTGAGGAACAATATTTTCTTCACGGCACGCCCTATTCCAGGAGTTAAGAACGTGCTAGCTGATAGTTTGTCTCGTTTACGGGTCGACAAATTCCACACATTGTCTCGGGGTATGGATCCAACACCAACCCCACTGTCAGCACACCTTCTACCAGAGAACTGGGTAATAGACGAGCCCAGTTATTAGAAGCGAGTTTGAGTGCCAGTTCATTAAATACGTATCGTCGTCCACGGCAGATTCTGCAGCATTTTAAAAGGGATAAGTTTAAGCTCCAAACCCCTCTATTTCCAATTTCAACTCATACGTTGGCCCTGTTTATCGCCTTTCTAGCCGAACAAAAATGTGCAGCCTCTACAGTTGCATGCTACCGATCAGCACTCAGTTATCCTCAACGATTAACCTCTTTGTCTGACCAACTAAGTCCGAAATGATTCGGCTCGCTCTCCGGGCTACAGTAAACTTAACCCTTCGGCTGATTCTCGGTTGCCCATCACATTGCCAATACTTGAATATATTATTTTAGCATGGGAACACACAAAATCATCATTATATAGTAGGGAATTAATTCAAGCGATGGATGCTATTGCCTTCTTTGCTTTCCTAAGAGTCGGTGAAATTACATCTTGAGCTCATCAACCCCGTCATAATATAATTGCTATAAGTCAAAAGGTATTTTCGAAAACCCGGGAGGGTACTGTCAGTGCGATCAAGCTAACACTTAGGAATCACAAGCATAGTGACGCTTCAAATCCCGTAGATATTTTCATATACCGAGAGTGGCCAGTTTGTCCAGTTTCTCTCTTGTTAGAGTTTCTGAGTTTGCGAGGACAGTCTCCGGGACCTCTTTTCTGCTGGCCGGATGCCTCTCCAATATCTCGATCTTGCTTTGTGGCTGCTTTAACAGAAGACCTTCAGTTTTGCAATTTGAATGTTGCTCAGTATAAGACGCACAGTTTTAGAACTGGAGCCGCTTCTTGGGCCGCAGCTAAGGGCATGTCAGACATACGGATTGGGGCCTTTGGACGCTGGAAATCTAATGCCCTTCTACGGTACATACGCACTTCCACAACTGGGATTATGTCCGCAGTCCCAACTTAAGCCAGTGCCATATGCTCATGCTTGCAGTTCGAAGCATTCATCTAAATAGTATTCTTCCTCAAGCAGAGAGCAGATCTTTTGTGCAGGGGCCAAGTGTATCTGCATTGTGTGTATCTTACTGGTAGCCAACAGTACTAGATATATTTGCTCTATTACGTATAGCGTTGACTGATTGGGAACATTTGTGCAGGGACCAACTGTTTCTTGAAAGGTGCAACTTATCTTAGAATGATCTTATTTTACAATGTCTTGATCAAACCATGTGTGCAGGGGCAACTTGGTTCGTTCAGAACTGTTACGCACGGGCTAACATACATTTATTTGGTGTTAAGTTATCTAGCTGCCTGATCGGGAACTTTTGTGCAGGGGCCAATCATTTCCTAAAAGGTACAACAAACCTTAAGACTAACGTAGTTATGTTGAATGTTGGAAAGCAGGTTACCAATTTGTGCATCAGACCTTGTGTGCAGAGTCCACTTGATTGAATACCAGTTTTTTTCAATTACAAGGGGATAGCTCCTGCAGAGTTCTTGCCCTGTTATACAGTTGC